AAGAGTGGCCGTCCTGTGATGCAGCCGTGGGAGTGATGTGGAAGAATCTTAATTTTTGGAGGGTCGTGCCCTATGCTTACTTGGCGTTTACCTTTTGAGTGACCCGGGGCTATTCATATCTTTTTGGGTACAGGGTTCTCACACTATCTCATCTCACACGACGTTTTCTTGTCTCCCAGTACCCACTGGTGTGGGCCGGGCTCGCAACGAGCGGCTTGGATCGCACGTCGCCCAGGTCAAAGCCTTTCAGGCCCTCTAGGGATTGTCTCTCCTTCCACCTGGACTGGCTGGGCCCGCATGGTTCGTGAGGTTTAGAACTTTAACTGGTCAATCCAGCAGAGGTTGAAGAACCCTATAGACTATCCTATAGGTACCTAGGGTCCTATAAGGTTACTTAACCTCTGTAGGATCAAGATGGCTGTGGGTCATGGTCATGGCACTAGGAGACCAGCTGCGGTTTTCGACCCATCCCCGGTGGACACAGTTGCCCCCGATGGGCTGCATTTGTCAGGCTACTCCACGGAAGAAGTAGTGCCTTGGACTTTTCGGCGAAGCGCAAGCGCAACTGCTGAGCCATCAGGACGTGTTGATCTGGCTGTGTAGGAGCAAGTGAAAGCCCTGTTGAGCCGAGGCATTAAGACTGACCTGATTTGGCTTAGGGGTGATTGATCATCTTCCAACCTGGGTGAATTCTGTGGAATATATACATGCTGGACATGTTCCCCGGGTCCTTCAGCGAGTCCAAGACCGAGAAGATGCGAATCCCAAACTCTCCACTGGCCGCTTTCCCTTTCCCCTCTTTCGGGACCGCCACCCTCGGTGTCCCATCGGGACGCGAGACCTTGTCACACCCGAGAGGTTGAGTGATGGTCAAAAGTTCTTAACTGCGACCTTCTGGGAGGCAGTTCAACCTTCTTGCGGAAGGGGTCAACGAGATGTGGAAGAGATGTTCAGGTTTTCCGCTCAAAGGCCGTTATCGCCGTAAGGCCTTCAACTACAAAGGCGACGCGCCAGCCGCGCGGACCTGCACGGACGTCTTCCTGCAGCCGGGTACAGCTGCTCGGAGAAAAAATGCTCTCAGAGTTCAACCATGATGGCTGGCCATGCGGGAAAAGAATGCCATGTACTCCAGGTGGTTCGAGATGGCAGGGTGGTCGCACCTGGCACGGTGTGTGTGTGTGTGTGTTTCCTGTTTGTTTTTTACTGGGAAGATGCACGCACCTGGCACAGGAGCATGCAAGAAGCGCGTGGGACCCTGAAGACGCTAGTGGAAAGCGGATTTGGGACATCTTTGAACCCTTGGGCCTTGGGGTCTAAACTCCAACCGCATCCTCAGGATGGCTCAGAAGGTAGTTCGACCCTCCCCCCCCAACCACCTTCAAAATGGAGGTAGTTGCAACCCGATCGCCCCATATAGGGAATGGTCTAATTTCAGGGTGTGAGCTCCTTGGGTTTGATATCATTGGAGGTGGGCATGTGTCACGGACGAAGCATTTGCGCAACGTGGCTTCTCCGTGCTCCGGAACGGTGGAACGGTCGGCACCGAATCCGAAGGGCATGGTGCCATGGTGGTGGACAGTAAGCCTGCAGAGGTCGCCAAGCGCATCGTGTGAATCGCTCTGAATCGCTCTTTGTCGAGCGAGAGGTCTGGTCCTAGAAGGGGGGGGGCATGTTCTTCCTGCCCAAGTCCAGCACCCAGCTCTAAGGGGGGTCCGGTCCCTCAATTCAGACCTGTATTCTGGCAGGGGTTGGGTGGTTCACTACAGTTTATTCTCATTGATGTTGGATGGTTAGGGGTCATCTCCGCCGAAAGAAACACCAGGCGGTCTTCTCCAACCATTGGTATAGCGGCCTGCCTAGCAACACGCCAGCTGAGAGTTGCGACACTTGGCTGAGAGTTGTGATGCCTGGCTTTGGGGCACATAACTCATGTGTCGGCGTCGGGAAGCAAGGGACCGAATGGTCGAAAGCAAGGCACTGCAGTGCCAATGAACTGAATCGTATCCTTCCCATCGTCCTCTTTGATCCCCATCTCATGGATCCAGATGGTGTTGGTTGTTTCAGATACACCGGCTATAGTACCAGCTGCTGCTTCCGAACTCGCGGTCACCTGGATGGACAAGCCTCCTACACCACACTCCATAGCCGTAGCTCGGTGGACAGCCCGTTTTTTGGGACATGTTCCTTCCCAGCTGACAGTTTGCTAAAAGGTCCAGAAGAAATGAGACCAACCAGGAGTTGCAAAGGATAGTGATTAGATGTGATTAGTCCCATCCAGTGAGTGGATCATGGGCACCCCTTACCACCAATAGCATCCAATAGCCACCCCTTTGGTTTTCCTGGAAAGTGGTTTCTTTCAGTCAAAGATCATTGGCATGATCCCTGCGCTGTTGGCATGTTGCTTGAAAAAAGATCCTAAGTTGCCGGACTACAAGGTCACCATTCCCAGACACTCCATGGGACTGCCGTATATACCGATCAGTTGGGGGGGGTTGGGGTCAATGTATAGGCATTATGGCAGTCCCATTAGTCGTGTTTGGGATGGATTCGTGGACATCATCAGCGCTTAACCAAACAGACATCACCTCGGCATAACATGTTGATGTTTTGTTTGCACTGGCAATACCCCGAGTCGTTCCAGCTTTGCCGGCCGGCCCGTGTGAGGCCTGCACCTGCTGCCGCGACACCGAGTACCTTCCCGGCTACCCAGCTGCTGCAGCATGCCCCTACGTGCCAGGTGCCACAACGACGACCACCACCACGACGACCAAGGCAACCACGACCACCACCACGACCACGGAGGCCAGAAGGATCCTTTCATTCTTGATGTGCCAATCCACAGAAAAGCGACTGATCCACAGACTCGAGATGAGGTCGACTAGCCTGACCATAATTAGAAGGAATGCCCATCATTGAAGGATGTTTGATGGTAACAAGTTGCACTTCTACTCGTAGCAAGAAGCTACTAGGTGGAGGCCATCGCTACTAGTACCAATTCAACAGTACTCCCTAGACCTCCAACCACCTCCGTTTCGAAGGTGGTGTGTTGGGGGTGGATGCCGGGATCGGACACCACCGGTCACCGGGTCGGAGATGGGCCGTATGGAGCCCTACGGCGGGACTGTCCGGATGCTCCTTACCAACGTCCGGTCGTGACACCAGGCCGCGGTCGTTTCACGGCGTGCCCGCCGCCGCATGCGCTGAGTGCGCCAGACCGGCGCTGAGACCGGCGCCAGCGTGGGGGCGCTTCGATGCGCCTGAAAAGGTCAGAGATTCGGATGTCGGTCGAATGGATGGATCACTGGACCCATTTCTTATCCTTATAACGGATCGAGACTAAGTATGACCCGAAAAAAGGCTCAAGTCTTGATGTGAACATGGGGTTTGACGCTTTGAGCCCCAAATAGCCCAAATCTATGTTTTCATCAGTCGTCGGTGAACTCGTGGGCAATCTGGTATGCAATCAATTGTGTCTTTTGACGCTTTGGTCTTCCCACTCGGGTCTGTTAAGCAAGGGTCGAGGTATGTCGCTCGCCGCTGCTCTCTGCCTCTCGGGAGCACCGGAGCACCATCTGAAGATAGCCATAGATAGCCAACCTTTGGGACTGGTATGAACATCGAGGTGTGTGAACCAATTCCCGGGTGTCCCCATGATCACCGTCGTTTTGGCATGTTTTGGCCAGATGAGTGAGATTTGATGTCGTCTTACTTGTGGATGGGACGCAACGCAATCGGTGCTGCAAACTCCACATCCTGCGGTCTGTTCGCCTGCAACTCGTGGCTCAAGCCAACACCTTATCAAGGACCTTATCCCTTTACATATCGATGAAGACCTTTGGATCAGCATCCGGAGACGTCGGGCTGTCAGCATACACCGGCCGGCTGGCTCCCATCCACCGGTTACCAGAGCGTTAATGGACACCCCTTCACCTCTGTCCTTAGGGGGTCCTGGTGTATATGGATATGGATCCACGCACTGCCACCCCCTTTAAGAAGGTGATTGATGACACAATTTGATGTAGGCCTGGAGGGTCCAGTCATATACATTCTGAGAAGGCACGACTGGATCCGGAAATAGCATCCCTCCGACAAACATGGAGGTGGAGTTGATCCCCTGTTTACTATTCGGATTTCATATGATCTCATGGTCTCTCAAGGGGCCACGCCATTCACTTCCGCCGTCTATGCCACTTATCGCCTAGATCTTCCACCTGTGTCAGTCGTGTCAGCCGTGTCAGTGTCATCGTAAACCAGCCAAAAGTATCCCAAAAGGCCGGGGATTTTTACGTCATTCGTTGGCAGACCTATAAGTCTAATTATGGAGATTTTGAGCATTTGGCCCTCATGGCCGAAGATGAACATTGGCCTTGGGCATGTGGACTGTGGACCATGTTTGGAGTTAAGAGGCCCAAGGGTGGTAGTTCTCAGGATATGTTGGAATCTTAGGTGATCCGTAGCGGTAAGGTTGCAGGACCATCCGAAGAAGAGGTCTGTACCTCTTTACGTGCCCTTCAGAGCATCATGTAACATCGTAGGGCTCCAGCACCCACCCCAACCATCTTCGAAACGGAGGTAGTTGGAGCCCTAGGAGGAACAACGTGGGATTCTGTTCTTTCACCTCACAGGCTGTTCGACTCGTTGTGGCCTGGACGACGAAAGTTTCTAGCACTGGAACGGTGGAACGAATCCTCACCCCAGACCGACATGACCTGTAGTTTAATACTCTCCTCGATGATTCCGACCATCCCCAGCACGCTAAACCCCCACCTCCTTCCCTCAACTCCAAACACCCGACACCCCCACTCCTTCCCTCAACTCCTCTGCCGTCGCGGTGGGCTTCACCCGTTGGGAAACTCGTGGCTTCTGATAGTCTGAGGCACTAATGGGCAGATCGGTCCATGTGCTCCTGTGCCTCGCTCACAGCTCCCGCCATGGGCCGCCAGCTAGGAGGGATGGGATCGATGATGTCTACCTGGGCCTAACTTCAAGTAGCCTAGAAAAGGGGACATGACCCTATGATAAAACAGGTACTTGGGACATCTTGGGACATACTTCCCCATGTTCTATAATTCGGGTACTGTACCGGAGCCATCGATCCGCCCCTGGACCGGGCTCAGGTGCGTCGGACTCGGACCTGCGCTTCGCGGTGATGCTCAGAGGGCGTCCTGTGCTTCGATGCTACAAACCGCAGTCGGACGTGGCCTTCAGGCGCCGCGCCGACCTCGCGGTCAACGGACCACGCGGTCCGTGGAGGTGGGGTCGTTCTCGCTGCATCAAAGCAGGATGCAGACGTAACACTCCCAGAAGTCCATGGTTACGTGCATGGTTCCTGAAAGGAAGACCATGAAATCATCCGAAGCCCAAAACAGGTGGTGAACTCCACTTTCGATGATTTTAAGGAGTGGGACCCCCTTCTGGCTCACTTTCACCCCCTGTTGCGGGGGACCTGGACCCGCGCACCCGCCAACACCTTCCCTCGGACCACGTTTCATCGGCTGGGGCAGGAGAATGCCAGCTTCGCACGTGAGCTGCGAGAACTGTATTTGGAGCAGCTGTCCTTCGCGCCTTGGAGCCCCGTTCGCTGTCCGCAGCTACAGGGTCGACCGACCGAGGTGACAAGTCCCGTTCACCTGGGACGAGGGATTCGAGGATTTCTCGAAGCCGCGTGGTTGGCTTCGGCTTCGATGAGTTAACTGACTCCTGCAAGAAGTATGATACCCCCAAAAAATACCATGGGAGTGTGCGCTAAAATTTGACTGATTTACGATCTCTCCACCGGTACACTTCGGTGCCCCACACCACCTCGCTTGCCCGACCACAGCCACGGTGGACGATCTCCATGCATCGGCTCAGGAACAGACCTTGCAACGGACGAAACGACGAATGGTGCAAGAGCCTGATCTGCCGGATGCCCGGATGCAGGTTTTTGGGGAGCAGGTTCCAAAGAACATGTGGTGGAAACAAGAAGGGCCTGGCAATGGCCTCCAACCTAGTAGCGGCCTCCAATCCCCAAGATCATGGTTTACGTGGGCCTGAGGTAACCCTGGAAAATCTCTGTGAATACCAAGCAGGTGAACTCCAGTTCCATGAGTATTTCAGGGAGTGTATTGGTCGAAGGTAGTTGAGTGAAGGAACTTCGGAGTGAAATTACCTCTTGATATCTCTTGTAGACAGTTTTTCAATGTTTTTCCTGACCCGGTCGACTTGCTTTTAGCTCGCTGCAGTGGCAGTGCTTGAGGACACCAACATCACTGGCGAGATTGCTGCAGGAGCTAGCAGTGTTTTTGAGCCGCAAGTGCGCTGCGTTCGCTGCGTTCACGGGCGTGACAAGACGGTGGTTTTGAGGCAAGATGAGGGCAGGATCAAAAAACATAATAAATAACACTTGCATATTCTGAGGGATACCTGAGTTTGCACCATCCATCCACAAGATATCAGAATATTCAACAGATAGCCGCCGCAGCCCTTCCTATTAAAAGCGGTGTGGTAGTCGGGTTGTAGTATGTTCTAATATTAAGTCCTCCCCATATCAAATTCTGGCTCCCTTCAAGAATAGATATAGTTGTTTCACCCGTTAAGTAGCCGAGTGCGTTTACGCAACCCCTGGTGCCAGGTTTGATCGCATGTTTGTTGATACCATTGGCTCCTTTGGAGGGGACTGGTTTTTCAGACTGAGAGAAGAAATACATGTTTTTGTTGGGCAAATGTTCAATCATGAAGGTTTGAACTGACCTCCCCCAGGGTTCACCCCCCCTGCCTCGCAGAAGTAGCACAAATGATGATGTTAACTACTATTGAGTGCTTATTACGCACTAACAGCAAACAGTAGGATTTCTGCCTAATAGTGCCTTGAATCAAAGGTTATTTAACTTGGTTTTGCTTGGGGTTATGTGCTTTCCCAAAGATATTGCTCGAGCCCAGCTCCTCAAGCAAATGCAAGTAAATGATAGTTCAAAGCGCTCAAGCATGTCTTCAGACACCAAATTCCATCAGAGGAACTTTTGTTGAATCCGACTAGGTATGATCACCCGATGTACAACACTCTCACTGGATCCCGGAAAACGGCAGGTCACCTTTGTAGATAAGAGTTCCCAGTGTGTGTCATGTGTGACTCTCGCTCCACGGTTCTGATCTCTTCAGAACCGGACGACTTTACGGCTTTTGGGGCGCAGAAATGATGCACCAACATGGTCATTCCAACATGGACGCACCAACTGTGACGACCAGTCTTTGTTGGTTTCTTTCACCCCCGTCCCATGTCGTTGGAGCACGTCTGAGCTCGCCTGGAGTCCTGGATAGTCCTGGAGTCCCTTTGCGCGCGCGCGCGCCACGTACGTTGGACCCGCCAGATCCACCCCAAGGCATCCAGGCAAACCACTATAACCAGTTGGTTCCAAAGACTAAAAACCACAGACCGAACGAATCCCTGGTTCCTTCTATAGTGGTTTGCCTGGGATGCAGCTCGGCGGTGCGCGCATTTCGCGCGCCGTACCAATGGAACCCCCCCCACCGCCCACGGGTCCCACCGAGTGTCCGGAGCTCCGCCGAGGTGACGGACGCCATCTCTGCCAGAGCCCAGAGCCTCATGTGCCTTAGCAAGCCGAGCGTTCGGGTTGGAACGGAGTCACGAGTCGCGAAACGGAGCACAGAGAAATGGAATGGAATGGAATGCATGGGGAGCTGTAGTGTTTTTTTGGGGGTTCTTTGGAGGGTTTTGGGGAAATAGAACTTCTGCATCTTCTGCCTAAAGATAGAAAGGACAAACGATAGATGTCTATGGCAGATGGGATGAACTCTTCTGTTCTGGGGTCATGATATGACATCTTACTTTACATAGTTTTGCGTGCGGCTAATTGGTCAAGCGAATGCAAACCTGGTTCAGAGTAACCAGAGTAGGTTCAAATCTACCAGGAGGCGCGATCGATCAAGCCCATACCTTCCGTCCGTGCTTTTCAACACGGACATTTGCAGCAGGAACGGCCATTCCAAAAGAAGTCCAAAGAAGACCATACACAATCATACACATATCCCAGACACTCCATGTATGCCATATATGCCTATATACATTGACCCCCCAAACCACCCCAACTGATCGGTATATATGGCAGTCCCATGGGTCGTGTCTGGGTATTGTTGTGGAGGAAGTGGTGCCCTTCAGGTCACCTAGTGACTGACCAAGTGTATTTGGACCCAACCGGTCTCAA